TTGATGACGATATATCGGCTCTAGACATCAAGCACATTTTGGTTACCTTCAATTAAAATAATCAGACTGCTTCGTTCATCTTGAAAATGGCGAAGTTACAAGGCAATTGTAAAATTATTTTTCTGAATGACCTAAACTTGTCATTGGAGCAGATGGGAGAAAAATAAGGAACTGTTTAATTTTGATGGAAATGTATTCAACTTGCATTCAGTTGAACTTGTGAATGCAAATACGGTACTCTAATACAAATAATTCCGAGATGGTGGAGCAATGTGACAATCTTATCAAGAATTATGATGGAAACATTGAGATGCTGCGTGGAGCTCCATGTTAAAAGACATACCTGGGGGCATCATTGGAGGTCAAAATTGTTTGCATCAACATGATTGTATTGATGAAACATAGACTTGTGAAAAACAAAATACACCCAAGCCAGCAGTAATTTAAGTGACAAAAGGTTTCAACAGCAGGTTAATTTCAGCAAAATAGTTTGTTTAGGAAACAAGCAATCACATCAGCAGAAGCAGTCTAGTGAAAAGCTAAACCAACTACGTAATCGGTGAGAAAGCAGTGAAGTAAAATGCATGCGCTATTATTGATGGCAAAATAATAGGGCAGGATAGACTTGCACCATGCTCTTACATTACGCCTGTAGCCATCACTTTATAAAGCAGCCCCAAAATGTGAATGATAGTGCTGCAAATAAATTGCTTCATTCAAAAGGGATTTGTTCCCATTCTGTAGAACTAGATAATTAGCTGGCAAAACATTGTCTGGTCAAAAAACAATGTTACTGTACACATTTATAAAACATGCGGCTCAAATGGACCTGATGATATTTTAAGAGTGCATGAAGCTTTTTTTTAAGCTATAGGCGAGCAGGAATTATCAAGGGAGAAAAATGATATCTGCATGCCCTGCCAAAACATATTTGCCTTATATCAAGTCATAAGAACAACAACAACAAGATACCATTTATAGAGCGCCTTTCATAATGCAACTTATATGAGTTTCCCAGATCAGTACCATTATATTCTGGTGCATTCTGCAACATGAGTTATACAATACCCACAAATATCCATAAATGTCACCAACCATATATGGTTGCCTTTTATTATGTGCAGAACAACAAATACAATTGTCTTTCTCCACTGTTAGTCATTCAAATTATCATCATTCCAATGTTTTTTAATTGGATATTCACTCATGCATGCATGTGACATCTACAGTGGTAGTTGATTTATACTTTCACACATGGTTCATTCTGGTGAGAATATTGCTTTGCTTTTTGTACAGGGATAATTATTTAACAGAATTAAATCATTACAATTTAATTAAAATGACTCCAGAAAGCCAAATATCTACTTACAGGATCAGTTCTTCGTCTCATGCTCCACAAGCAAAAAAAAAGAACATGTTAACCTCTTGCATGTTGGTGTAGTATACAACTACCACTGTTTGCAGATATTGCCACCTGAGTTAATTTCTGCACCCACAATAGATAAAACATGTGGTTAAGGTCATATTTATAAGAATCATTCCACTATATATTTTATAAATACATAATTGTCATCATAGTTGCTCCATTTTCTTCAAGAGTCAGAATTGCTTGCCTTCTGAATCTGCATAGTTGAAGCTAGGTTCTTCTGGCCACATGAATGCTTAAGAGTGATTCTATAAAAACAGATGGTGCAACAAAGCTCATTTGATTTAAGATTCTTTGACGACTTATCAACATTCACATTTCCTATATTGCTGTGATACCTTATTCTGATCTAAGTGCTTTGGGATGTCCTCCGGACACAACAAACATTTTATCAATGTAAATTTGTATTGTATCTGCACTTCTTTATTATTCATTCATGTCAGTGTAACTACAACTGTGTTCATTTTTATGCTATTTATGTAGTGTCGTGTACAACAAATACACACAATCAAAGTAGTATGCCATTAATTTCTACATATTCCATATTTCCAAATAAAACTATTTTGCTGTCACTTGCTGTATATAATAAATTTGTGTTTTTATCCAGCTGCAGTATCTGCATCTACAAATATGATTGGCCTTTTTCTCTACCCTATTACCCATTTCCATTCATTTTATTGGTCAATGTAAAACAGACCACAATTGCTTGAGATTATATACTGTAGTCAGTCGGTGTCCTTGCATGCTGCTGCCCATTGGCAATTGGTTATGTAGTCAGTTGCACTGTTCGAAAAATACATTTTAAAAGGCAAAGCACCACCGGTTAGGGTGTTTTCCAAATAATGCAGTGGAATACTCACTCGAGGTGCAGCACAAGTTAAAAGAAAATAGTATGCATGCATTAATAAGCGAGAGAGGAATATCTCTCTTTGGAAGAGGAACTGTGAACAATGAGCCTTAATTTTAAAATTAAACAAAGTCTGTTAAATTTAAATCCAGGAAACCTCTAACTTTTACACAAAGAAATCAATAACTGGAATGGGTACCTGGAAGGGTGGTGGAGGCCAGGACTATATCTAGAGTTACTTAAGAAATAGCAGATGCTGTAATTCTGAAAAAAATTAGGTAGGTATTCTGGAAAGATGAGATCAAATGAGTTGAAGGGTTTTAAAAAAAAATTTCTGGGGATTAAACAATTTGGGTGGAGTCCAGGGTAGAACATATTGGATCCATAGACTGAGGAAGCAGTGGGTTTGATGTCCTGAGAGTTTTTATTTTCACTTCCCAGTCTTTCTTTCGTATCGCCTCAAATTGCAGCCAATTAGCTGTTTTGTGTATTCTACATTCCCAAAGCTTGAAATATGCAGCAAAACATTTTATTAGTCATTATTTGCATTAGCATCACATTCTGTTATTCCCCCCAAATACTCACTTTATTTTTTAAAGATCCTCTTTTTTAGAATTCTCAAAACTGAAGTAATTCATATCTGTTGATTTTTATTCCAGTAAAATAACCAGTGTACACATTCCAGAATGTGGACAGGTGTTTTAAGAATACCATATACATTTTATTCAGTTGTGCTTTGCTTTCCTAGTCTCTGCAAGTAGAAAAGTACCTGTCCACATTACTACACCATATGGATGATTTCATGACTTAATCCCAAGATCATGCTACAAGATGCATAGGAAAAATTCTGCACTAAGATCTCTATCAATCCAGACTTCCCAATCTGTACATGAAACCCAACTGTTTGATAACAACTGTATAAAAACCTAGCCTGAAGTCAAGGCAGGGTCAATGAAAACTAGCGATAAATTAAAAAAAAACCTTCAGTATGACTTGTCACAATAAAACTGAGAATGTGGTCACCATAAAATCTGCTCATTTCACACTTCTGTAATATCAATGAAGGTTTCATGTAGATAGATGCTACTTGACTTTCTGAAAACAGAAATGCAGCACAACTTTCCACTTGTGGATTACAAATAGATGGTACTTTACCTGGAAAAAAGCAGCTTCTTTTATCTTCTGATATAAGGTTCTGTATAATACATCACTGGAAAGAAGTCATCCACATTAAAACCAGCAGAACCACGAGGGCGAAGCTGATATCTGTATCTTATTGGATGATGTGGTTTGCGCTACATCAGTTAAAACCTTTAAGTTTTACTCCCTCTGTCCCCCTCTATGTCCACTACGAACACATCCCTTAAAAGTCTCCCCAATTTTTCATGTTTCTATGTTATACATGAAGCTAAGGAAGTGGAAGACAAACATTCTTCCCTGAAGGGCCTGTGTTTGAGCCTTGGATAATAAAATGCCCTTCGGTCATGATTGGTGAATTATGAGCGCATTGCACATTCCCTTTATCAGCTTGCCAGATGACAGGCCCACATTTTTAAAATACATTTGTCGGAGGAGCAGTGTCCAAATTCTCTGCCCTAGACAACAACCACCCATTACCTCTAAATTATATACACGGGCACAGAGAGAACGGAACAGCATCACCAGGACTACAATTGGGAGGAGAATGCAATGAGGAGGTTTGTTATTCCCTTCCTCAGTGACTGTGTCCACATTAAGCTCCAAGAGTTTCAACACCAACACGTGGTAATCAGTCACAAGCCCAGAGGCCATAACTCCACAAAAATATAGGAGGTACAGAGAGAGTGGTTGAGTCACACTCCCGAGACTGCTCCAGTCCAAGGTATTGGGTTCTCGCCAGCCAGCAACTCCCTTTACAACAACAAGAACTTCTATTTTTATTACAACACCCTCCTTGACGCTGGGTAGCTTTCATCACATCCAGGCTTGATTATGCTAACTCCTTGCTTACCGGACTTGCCAACTCTTCCCTCCTCTTCGCCCCCCCTCCCTCGCCTCCTTCAAGGTCCATCTCAAACTATAGGAACAGGAGTCCCAGTCCGCCCCTCAAGCCTGTCCTGCCATTCGATTAGATCATCGTTGATCTGTACCTCAACTCCAATCTGATTTTTTTTATATATAAAGACCTTCCTCTTTGACCATTGCCTTCGGTCAACCCACCCCAGACATGCCCTCCACCCTCCTGCCCCTCGCCTTCCTCCAGCCTTCTGCCCTCCACCAGCCCCCTGCCTCTCACCCTCCGCCCCAACCACCCACACCTTGCCCTCCACCCACTCCTTGCCCTCTGCCCCCCCACCTTACCCCCCACCCCTCTGCCCATTGCCCTCCGCACCCCTTGCCCTTCACCTGCCCCCACCCCTTTGCCCTCCACCCTCTGCCCATTGCCCCCCCACCCCTCGCCCATTGCCCCCCCCACCCCTCGCCCATTGCCCCCCCCACCCCTCCGCCATTGCCCCTCCACCCATTGCCCCCCCACCCCTCCACCCATTGCCCCCCCACTCCTCCACCCATTGCCCTCTGCACCTCTTGCCCGCCCCGCGAGTGGGGGGGGGGGCGGGGCGTCGCGTGCTCCGAGCCGAGCGACCGACCGTTAAACCGTCGCCGCGGCCTCGCTCTCGTTTCCCGCCTCCCTTCGTGCGAGGCGGTGAGCCAGCCTGCGCATGCGCACCCACCACTGCCAGCTGCGGCGCGGGAGGGCTGGTGTCAGGCGCCGTCAGTCCAGCGCGAGCGCTCTTCCCCCCTCTGCTTTCCTCTCACGCACACGCAACGCAATCCACTCTCCTCCGAGCGAGAGACAGACAGACAGAGAGAGAGAGAGAGAGAGAAGGCGAGACACGCACCGAGAGACCGACCAGCGCTCCTCTCGCTCGCATTCACTCCAATGGCGACCATCGTCACCTTCTTGCTGCTCGCCGGGGTCGCCGCCACCGGACGGGCCGGTTACGTTGAGGTAAAAGAGCCGTCGCGGCGCTTGGGGTTGGGCGGCGGGCGGGCGGGCGGCGGGGCTTTATCCCGAACCCCGGGATTTTTTTTTCGGAGGGGGTGCGGGGAGAAAGCCGCCCCCCCACCCCACCCGCGAGACTCCTCTGTCTCTGTTACTGGGAGCCCCCGGGAACCGGGATCATCCCGTTATGGCGATGCGAACACGATCAAGGCGACCAACCCCCCCCCTCCCCCGCCGCCACCCGGTTGGGGGTAGAGTGTTTTTTTTGTTAGTGGGGAGGGTCGCGGGCAGGTGACGGTGGGGAGCCCCCCCGGTAGATACGGCCCCGGGGAATCGGGATCATTCCCAATCGGTGCGGGGGGGGGGAAGCGGGAGCCTCCCGGTGACTGGCGCCCGTGTCTCCCCCTCCCCGCGGAGGGAGAGCCCGGGAGCCGAGCCGACGCCGCTTCTCCTGCTCGGTCGCCTTCTCCCTGCAGCCTGTCAGAGAGCGGGATACACGCACCAGACCTCCGCATTCCTCGCCTCCGGCAAAGAAAAAAGGTCTCTTTCCTCCCCCCCCCCCCCCACTCCCTACCCCACCCTCCCCACATCCATCCTCTCCCTACCCCACCCTCCCTCCATCTACCCCCTCCCTGTCTCCCCCCCACTCCCTACCCCACCCCCCTTCCTCCCCACATCTACCCTCTTCCCCCCCCCTCTCCACTCCCTATCCCCCACCCCCCTCCTCCCCACATCTACCCCCTCCCTCTCTCTCCCCCTCCCCACCCTCTCCCGAGCTAGAACATTGCCACCAACTTTAAAAAATCATATTTTTTTAATATATATACTTATATCAAATTAAACCAGCAAGGATTCAAAGCTCCTCTTTGCCTTGTCTGACTGGGCTGTAGCAGCACAACCTTCATACAGGAGAATAACCTCTCTTAGTTGGCGCTGTATTTTTTGGTTAGTGTTGGAAGGTCCAGGAGAAATAATAATTATACTAATAATAATCCTTGAATTCGATATAGCATCTTATCACGTCATTGAGACGTCTCAAAATGGGGACAAGAGTTGTGGGAAGAGGGAAGTGTATGACTCCCCTTTAGGTCATTTTCTTTAGCAAGGTGAGAGGTTTTGTGTCCATCTTGTGGATTTTTTTCCCCTAACCTGCCCCAGAGGGTAACGAGGATCAATCTTTCCCTCCCTCCCCCTGGGCTTCCTTGAGTTGCTTGAGGGAAGCAAATGAATCACATCCCTATGTGAACAAGGTCATACTTGTATCATTGCGTATCGTTTTACATTCGTGTCTGTCTATCTATAAAGATTTCACAATTTAAATTCAGCACCGCAGACTCAAAAAAGAGCGTGCCGAGACTTGTGTGAGACCATTGTTACATGATTTATAAACAGCATTGTGCTCCTGATGCATGGGTGTGGCTGTTTCCTTGCGCTCTCCCAGGCCATGTTCAGTTTATTCAGCAGCCTTTCTATTCCAAGCTAATTTCTCCTTTTTTCAGCTGATGAAATCCATTTTGTTGGGGGTTTTGGGGGTATAAAAGGCTGTTCCAGATCGGTTTGTAGTGTAAAGAACTTGGCTAAAGTCAATACTGGGCTGATGGTGCTCCTTTGCTGTGAGAAAGCGTCTGCTTCACTACCTCTTGATTTAAAGTGTTTGCCGACAGTATTCTGCAGCTGAGGACGAATTTTTCAAAGCCTGTTTGAAAAAAGAATGGCCACTTTGTATTTACGATTCACGAATATTTGCTGCCAGCACCTTGGGACAACCTCCCGACGTGAAAGGGGCTATACAAATGTAATTAATTTGTTGTTACTTGTTGTTTTTGCCTCTATGGTTCACTCCCTCTTTAATCATCAGGCAGGAAATTGTAATAATCAGGCACCATGTCATTAGCCTGCAATGCCCTTTCTTTGTGCAACCTGTATGTTAGAGCAATAACACAGAAGCACCTAGGCTGGTCGAGAGTACTAAAATGTCGGTAATCTGGGAATGATGGTATGGTGCAATTAAGAATTGGTGCACTGGTGACACATTACATTTTTTGATCTCCACACCCTATTCTTATCAGGTACACGCAGCAGTGAACTTAAGTTCAGGCGCACAGAGTGGTGCTGCCTTTTTATGTTACATGGGGGGAGGGGTGTGTAAGAGTGGAACCAATGCTTTGAAATGGTCTGGTGTTGGGTGCTTGTCCTAAAGTGAGGAAGACAACACTGCCTGAATGATTGTCCTAAACCGACTTACGTGTACTTACTCTGGAACTTGGACGTTTCTTAAACAGAGCAGGAGTTCTTGTTAAAAGTATGCCCAGTGATATGATGATGGTTTAGAACCACAAAATATGCCTACAAAATACACAGTTACTACACTGTACAGTAAATTCTACGAAGTGTTTGAAACGTCCTCCCAATGTGAAAGGCGCAATGTCAAATGTAAATATTATTGCAAGAAGCACCTTGGCTCAAAATTTCAGAGAAATGCAACTGTTGCAATGTGAAGGATAGATGGGTATTTTTATTTATTCAATTGTTTGGGGAGTATAGGTCGCTATTAATGGAGGTAAGAGAAGAATTGAGACGATGGTAACATTGAAGGGATATCATTTCATGGATGGATGCCAAGGTACAAGGTCTTTTATGACATCTGCAGACGGAAACATTTTAGATAAATGTGGAATTTCTTTTTACTCGTATTGGTTTCTTACCGTGCCAACCACATCAGACTGGTGAATGTTCTGGAATGTAACCCCACAGAAAGTTCCAGATCTCAACCAGGCTGTCCAGGGGAGGATGTTCAAAGCTAAAGTGCCTAATTTGGGGAAATATTTAAACATATCATTGTAGCTGCTTACATTATTGGCAAATGTCTATAAGCTGGTTGCTTGCTTGGCTTCTGGAATGGATTTTTTGTTGGGGGGACTGGCGAAAGGTGAGAAATACATTATTTTCTTGATAGATTTCTTGTGGATAAAGGGATTAAGGGATATGGGGATAAGGCGGGTAGGTGGAGTTAGAATAGATCAGCCATGATCTTATTGAATGGCGGCGCAGGCTAGGGGGGCCGAATGGCCTACTCTTGCTCCTATTTCTTATGCTCGTATACCAGGGAAAATAAATAGATTCATGCTTACTCCTTACTGAAGAAGATATCGGAGCCACACAACAAATTGCATTTATAGAACGCCGTTCACAACTGGAGGATGTCCCAACATTGAAGGGTTTGCACCCAAGGTGTTTTTCAGGTGATATGGTTGCGGTCAGCAGTGCTACTCTATGCAATCTGACTTATTACTGTCCAATGCCATCTTTGGATGTTTGCAAGTGGCAGAGAATGAGCTTATCTTTCTCTAAGAACAAAAATAATTGTCCCAATTCTCTCGTGACTGCCCCAAAATGTTTAAACTGTCTGTGGCATTGACTAATAAACTATTACATGTAGTATTGGTTTTATGTAATCAAATGAAAGCATCTCAACCAACATCCAGCTTCAAGATTGAGTGTATATGCCAGCTGCGTTGCATTTTGTACTCCTTTGCCAGTGCAACCAGCAGCCAATAAAAGCTTAGATTTAGCAATGGATTAAACCAGCTTGCCTCTCTTTAATACCATGTTTAAAGAGCTAGACTGCTGTGGGATACATTTTGAAAACTTCAGTCGACATAGCTCTTTTTCAAACTATCTCAAGTATTCTGATCAAATTCAGGGTATATACAAGTACAAAACAGACTGTATGATACAGTGGTCTTAGACATTCCTCATAATTCATTTTCTGATATAAAGATATTCAACTTTTTTTAGAACAGCATTTCATTGTAATGACTATCTAATAGTCCCCATGATTTAGAGTTGAATCCAAGATGAGAAACCATTTAAGTCCATACTGCTAGTAATTCAACTGGATTTACTGTAAGTAGGAACGTTTATAATGAAAAACTGCCCTCTTTCATGTTAGCATATTGGAAATGATTTGCAATTTAATAAATGTTACCTTTCTCAGTATTAATTTTAAAGATACAGGAGTATGCTGTCCTTGTGCAAGTTGTCTGTGCTTTTTAATCAACATCGTAGTTGTTGATTGTTGTTGTAGTTAGTCTCTTTATGGGTGCTGAGTTCAGTACTGCAGTATTACAAACTTTGTCTTGTTTGAGTCAGCATTTAAATGTTAATAATAATCCTTGCATTTAATATAGAGCTTTTCATGTGAGTTTAACATGGCTGGGAACAGGCAGATCTGTTGAGTGTTGCCTGTTTTGTTGGTTGCACATGGCTCCCATGATTATCACAACATCACTGCTGTATTGGATTGTCCAGTTGATACAACAACAAGAACAAAAACTTGGATTTATACAGCGCCCTCCACGCCAGACGGCGTCTCAGAGCGCTTCACAGTAACGGATCCTGGGCCGAGCCAGGGGGAGGGGGGGGGGAAGGTGACCAAAGGCACGGTGAAAAGTAAGGTCTTCAGCCGAGACCTGAAAATAGGAAGAGAGGGAGCGAAGCGAAGGGAGTGAGGAAGAGAGAACAGAGCCTCGGGGCATAATGGCTGAAGGCACGGCCGCCGAGGGTGGAGCGGAGGACTCAAGGGACAAGGAGGAGTCCAGACCCGGTGGAACGAAGGCAATGGGCACTTGTGAGGAGAGAGGAGGTCAGAGAGGTAGGGGGGTGCAGAGGAGTGGATGGATTTGAAGACTAGGGTGAGGATCTTGAAGTCAATCCTCACTGGGACAGGTAGCCAGTGCAGTCTGCCAAGGACTGGGGTAATTGGGGAGCGAAGTTTGGTGCGGGTAAGAATGCGGGCGGCAGAGTTTTGTATGACCTGGATTTTATGGATGGTAGTGGAATTAGGATTCAGAATTGTTGTTGATTCAGACTTTCCTGTACCTTTATGCAACAATTGTGATATTGCTCTACTAGCATATTGAAACGTGTATTTAAAATGTGTGCATAGTTTATCAAAAAAGAAAGCTATATACATGTGTGTGACAGAGTAGCACAATACACTTGAT